TGGCCGCTGAGCCTGCGCGTCCGGAGCCTGTGCTCCGCAAAGAAAAAAAAAAAAAAAAAAAAAAAAAAAAAAGCTCTGGGACACAGCGGGAGGGAGGTCTGCAAAGCCCTATGGCTTGACTTGGTTGGACACTTTCCACCTACTGAGAACCCCATTCTCCCCCAATGCCACATACATCAACCTCACTGGGTCAAAGGTCAGTTCATGGTTCACTGTGCACAAGGATGCCACTTGGACCCTCTAACGGGCAGAAGCCTTCCATGCAGTGTTCCCAAGAATCCACCAGAGCCACCCGTCCATAGAGGAATTCTAAGTGGATGCACCTCCTCCCACTGCTGCCGCCGGCAGCCAGTTAAGAGCTCTCTGCTCAGGGTCCGGGGACCAGTACTCCTACCCCAAAGCCCTGCTTCAGAGAGGGTCTGCTGGGGACCACAGCTATCCACAGGAAGGAGGACCAAAGCCTCACAAACCACCTGCCCTCTAGTTTCTTGGGCTCCTCCAGGTGGCCTCTCTGTGCCCTCGGAGGGAGGGACAACCAGATCCAGAATTAGCAGACGTGCAGGGAAGGAAGCCCAGGACTGGACAGTGGTGCCCAGAGGGTGGGGACGAGTAAGAAACATCCCCGAAGCGTACTGTTTGCGGGTCTGAACGGTGGGCTGGGTGAAGGGCACCCAGCCTTTAATGACCTAAGGCAGTGATTCTCTCTGAAGGGGGAGGGAAGGGCATGCTCCCATCCGTGTCTCCTGGGCACATGTGGTGGAGAACGCCTGTTGGATACACCCATGGCTTTCACTATGCAAGTCACAGAGAAAAGTGATGCTGGCAGAGTTCTATGGGTGACGGGGGACCAGCAAGCCTTGTGGGATGCACAGGGTTAACAAAGGTTAAGGGGAACTGGAAAGGATGTTGGGAAAAGGCCATTTGTGTACAGGTGTGGGCGTGTATCCCAGACAGACCCCAACTGGGACATGCTTCTCGGCGTGCGGGTGCCATGTGGCAGTCCCCATCCAGGTGTAAAATATGCCGCAATCACCCACCGACCAGCTTTCCAGGGGTCTGGTCTACAAAACCCTACACTTCACCATGAACTCCAGCAGCCTTGGAGAGAGGGAGGTAGCCCCTCACATGTGCTGATTTAACACAAAATGTAACATGACGCTGTTAGATTTTAAAAAGCAAACCGGAGAACACCATGCAGAGCATGATCCCATGTCTGTAAGAACAGAATTTTTAAAAGATGCTATCTGTGCGCGTTTGTCCGTAGGCATAGAGAAAGGTTTAGAAGGATAAACACCAAACCTTCCACAACGGTTAGTCCTGGAGGGGGGCGGCGGGAGGAAAGATGCGTTCACTTTAAGGACTTTTTGAAATGAAAAAAAATTTGTTAATGCATGTATTCCCTTTTGCAATGAAAATAATGGTTAAGCAAAGAATAAACGGCTGCAAAATACTGACTGAACGCACTACAGTCACAAGCACAAATTGTCCCCAGAGCAATTGTTCCTACAGGCTCTCCACGTGCGTCACTTCTTATAAAGCAAGCACAGGATAAACGTTTAATTTACCCAGGAAGATACACATGGAGACACTAGGGCATTTAAAATAAAAGGACAAGAATTCCCAGCTACAGCTCTGGGGACACCCCAAAGGGGACAGTATTTCTATAATGAGTTCTCCTAAGACTTCCAATTATACTGTTTCCACATAACAAATTTTAATTTTCCCAGCAAAAATGGGGTAGCTATCTGTCTCCGTGGGCCCCAAGCAAGAAAAGAACTGCTCCGTGCTCAGACTGGAAACCCAGCCCTGGCAGCTGTACGTGGTTCTGTGCCCTGCCAAGGCCAGGTGGGGAGGTGAGGAAGGAGGACCTCGGCAGGGGTGGGGCAGGGGGAGCAGAGGCTGGAGGGGGCAAGAATGCCAACCTTGGCTCAGCTGGGACAGCTCACTCAGCACCTGCCCGTAACTTGACGCTGTCCCTTCAATTAAAGCCACAGCTCCACAGTTCCGCCTTCCAAAAAAGCACGTTCGGATCAATTGGCCCTGGAACTACTAAAAATTATCCTTTTGTTTTGTTGTTTAAAAAAAAAAAAAAAAAAAAGTTTGTTGAACGAGCAATACCCTCTGTTGGAAACACGGCCAGGGTGACCGGTGACAAATGGATGGAACAGGGGTGGGGGGCAGGAGACACACAGAGGCAGCCACTGAGGAGCGGCAGACATACACTCACCCCCTTTCAGCTCAGTTCCCCCTCAGTGCATCTGACTGACCCCAGAACAGTAAAACCATTGTTTCGACCCAAGATGGGGAAAGAATAAAATTCAGGATGTGGAACAAGGTGACCTATTTATAAAGCCTCCTTTCACCTGCAGATCAAATAAGCTCCCTCCCTCCGCCTCCCCACCTCACACATCGCTGGTTGCAGCCCAGGATTTTGCAAGAGAAGCAGGCCTGAGCGATCGGTTATTAGATCAGGACGCAACTTCTGCAGCCTGTATGTTAGGGTTTTGTGGTTCATCAGCCGGGGCTCTGGAACACATCTCGGTGGTGGGAGCGCCCAGGGTGGGCGTGCTCCATGCAGCCTGGCCACGCAGCCCCGGGCAAGGTGCCACCAGCCAGAGGACAAGAGCTATGTGGTTACCCTAACCCTAACGCTACCCCATCTCACCTGCACCCTTCCCGGATGCCCGGGAAGACCCAGGAAAGCTGTCTTCTTGCTCCAGCAGGGATGTAAAAGTCAGTGTCTGGCCCTAGAATCCACCAAAAGTTTTGGACTTTTCTGGAAAGTTCTGACGAGTGATTCTGGAGAGAAAATCCCACACGGGCCGGAGCTCTAGCCTCTGACTTGAAAAGACCAAAAAATGCACCTGCCGTAAACACCTACGGAAGGACCCAGATTA